CTTTCTTTTTCCTCCTTTTCCTTTTCTCCCTCCTTTCTTCTTTCTTTTTCCTTTTCTTTCTCTGTGTGTATGTTTGCGTGTATGGGTATTTAATTGTTAAATTTCATCGTATTTTTTCTAATGCTGTAGTACTTATTTTGCTTTTTACATATTCTGCTTTTCTAACTTATGTAAATTAAGAAGAATTATTTTATCTGAATTAATTTAATATTTCTTTGTTACATATCGAACTGCCTACTATTCTTGTGCGGATTATGCTTTTTACCCATACAATGTCTCTCGGAAAATTCTCAGGCTAGTATATGAAACAGATGAAAAACACATAAATTTCTGGAAAAAACTCAGGAATTTCATTGTTAAAGCTTTGGTTTTATTAAAAGCTTAATGATATTTCATGGCTGATAATTCTAATCTCTACTGACTAAACTAAGAGGTTTCCGTCGCAGCTAAATAAGTCCGCATTTATTTAGTATTTTTTGTTAGTATTTAATATTTAAGTTTTGTACTGTCGTTTTTATTTTCACTTAGATCAACACTCTTTCGAGCAAGGTTCGGTTTAGGTTAGTAAGGTTTGAAGCAAGGTTACGAGCTTACAGGTATTTTACTGATACTAAAAGTTTTCAATGTAACTAATTTTTTAACAGGAATTATGGCTTTTCGAGAAATACTAAACTTGAATTTATGTGTCTCATTCCAATAAAAAAAAATGTGGTCTTAAATAAATTTGCAGTTCAGATAAACCGATTGTAAAATTGATTAGAGTTGCTTTCTTAGTCATATTTTAATTAATATTACTCTAGGCTCAGGAAGCGAAAATTTCTAAATTAAAGAATAAAAAAATTAATTTATTTCCTGACATTTAATTCATTTCCTGGCATCATTTGAAGGTAGTCTGGCTTAGAATGAGTGCTTTCGGGCAGGTCTTTCCAGAGTTTTGCTTGCTTTATTCGCTTATTGGAAATCACACGAGGGTAATCTGCCTAATGGTAGGAGCCTAATGGTGGAGGATTTTCTAAGAAAAACTGGATCCTATCTACCTTACACATGGGGGAAATGACGAAAATGCTCATGCAGTTAACCCATTCGCCCTAGAATAGAACCCAGTTCGAACTACTAATGTTCACCGAACCTTACCGCTCGGCCGTTAGTGGGCCGATGTTATTGCCAGGTTCTTCTAAGTGTATGGCCCATGCCAAAGGAATGGATGAATATTCATTTTCAATATTAAATAAATCTCTTTTCAAACTTCTCTTTCGCGAATTTAAAAGTAGGTTTCGAAAATTTGTGTGACGAAGCTTTGTCGTGCGCGAGAAGTTTTCCTGTTGAGCGTTTTCAGGCTTATATTTCTGAATTTGGATCTGAAGTCTGTCCGTTATTTCTTTATACGATATGCAGTTCATCTTCTATTCCTCAAGACCAATTTATTTGTGAATTATCCCTTTGCAACAAAACAAAAAGAAATTACCATCAATGTGGTATTTACTCGAGATTTCTGAAACTGAACTTTGTGATGATTTGGTGAAGTTTCTCCAACCAGAGCAAATGATTCTCGTTTGATTTCAAAATTATTACCAAAGCTCAAAGTTTCTTCTCCAGTCACAATGTACTTGAAAAATTTAGGATTAATATATGCCGTTTAGATCAAATCAAGACATTCATGTCCCCCAATTCCCAGTTGCTCTTTAAAAGAGATAGTATATAAGGTATTTTCTATCTCCTTCCACCATTCTGTCGCGCTGTAGCGGTAGCACGCTCGGCTCGTATCCACGACGTCCAGGTTCGAGTCCCGGCAAGACATAGTACATTTTTCACATCTCCTACTTCAACAAAGATTAATGACTCTACAGAGGTTTGACTGTAATAATTTTATTACTGTTGATTTTTCTTATAATTACACATTCTTATGAACAGTAAACTGACTTTGGATGGAGGAAACTTACATTATTAAATACTTCTTTTGCACACTTTTTTTAAATTGTAGCTTCATGCGCTTTATAATATCAGCTATGTTTTGTAATTTATTTTTTCATTTTGTTTTTCTATCAAACGCATGTACACACTCACCAGGTGTATCGACATTTATTGGTGAAAAATTTGATCTCGAGGATATTTTATGCAGAGAAAAAGAATCAGGAAAAAAAGGAGGCTCTGTCAAAAGTGTAAGTGAAGATTGCATTTTTGGAAGAAAATGCTTTGATTTTATATGATTTTTAAAAACATGCCTATATTTATCATACATCCTGAATCATATCCATGCATACGTGCATTTATATGCGCAAATAATTGCAAAGGGTTTTGCGCTTTTCCTTATTACGTAACGCAAACATGATCCACTTTGGGTACAAAATTTACCCACGGATTCAATTCTTCTCTTAGACTTAATTTCACTCGCTGTACGGTACTTTTTAATCTGTTTCTAAGAGTTTTAATTAATAATTTGATTACTGTCATTTACGACTTTTAAAATCTAAATAGTTTTATATTTATTCATAAATACTGCACTTAATTTTGAATTAATTATGGTAATAAATACTGACATTATAGTTAGCTCACCTATAATGTAATTTAATAACTAGTTATAAGCAACGCAATTTTATAGCTTGGTAAAACGTGTGCTTTCTTTCTTCTTTAACCAGGTATATAAATAGGCAAGCAGAGCTTAAATTGCGCCGGAGCCCGGCTACGCCAATTCTCAGTTTCTGGGTATATGGTGATTCAAGCCGGAGCTAATAAAAGGGATCCAGCACTTTTTTTTATGTAAATGGAACAGGGTTTCAGCGGAAAAAAAAAATTATTTTAAAAATAAATATGCGTTGAAAGACGATTATAACGTCCGATTGCATGCCTATTTTTCTCTGGTTAAAAAATGGACGGAGATGTTAACAGTTTTAAGGAGAGAAAATCCTACATGCACATGTCAAAGGTTTATTCTCCAAGTAGTGCATTTATGAAAGCGGGTAAAATGTTTTATTCCTGAAAGCACTAAAAATGAAAAAATGATTACTTTGGTTGTGCACTTCCAGCGCTAGTGACCTCTTACTGCAGAGCTCCTGCACACTTGTACTATGCAACCAAATACGATGGACAAAAATTTTCATCTGTGCAGACCTTACATTTGTTCTCAGGTTGTTATTAGATAGGATTCGGGGGAAGATTTTTTGCCCAGTCTCATTGTGCTTGGCAGCTAGAATTATACGGGCAGGACATCGCGATCAGAAAGTTTAGGACTCTTCTCTCTTTGTTTTCAAAGCTACATTTCTTCATTTAAATCTCTTTTCATACGCTCATATTATTTCTATTATTCCCTCTGTTCTTATTAGCTTTAATTGTTTTATTTTATTTATTTTTTTTTCCATTGGTGTTCTGGGAAAAGAAAGATTTTTGGCACTCTCATCCCTTGAAATCGTAAGTTATACCGCATATTCAGGGCTTGAATTCAGCCGGAGGCCGGCTAAGCTATTGCTTATTTTTTTAAAATTAAATTTAAGTCCAGCCGGAGCTCCAAATAAGATGAGTTTAATTTTAATTTTAATTTAATTCTTTTAATTATCCGTCATTCCCCCCCTTCTTCCTGAAAGCCTTCCATAGGGCTCCGGCACTTCTGATTTTAGAAATTAAGCTCTGTAGGCAACATGCATATACTTATATTCAAACAAAAATAAATCAACATACTGTTTAACTCGTGTTTAAATGCATGTGTAGACTTCAAGATTCCCCCCTCCAAACACAATTTTCTCTTAGTTATTATCAAATGTTTATGCGAATGAAAAACCATACGGAACGGAAGTTGAATGTAGGTAAATTAGTAGCACAAATTTAACCAGATATATGAATACATATATGTAAAGAGAGAGATCAGAAAGAGGATAATATTTAATTAATAAATGTAATAAATGTCGCACAAAATGCTGAGAAATTAATTAAAAGAGAGCGATAAATACATAAATACAACTAAATATAATAAAAATTTATAAATTATATAATATAAAAATTTATTCAATATATATTTTAATATATATTTATAAAATATGTAATTAAAATGTATTAAAATATAAATGCAATTCAGTCAATAACTATGAAAACAATAATAAAATTAAATTACTACAACAGAATGAGCTACAAAAATAATCAAAGAAATCCTTAAATTTAAAATATTTGCTCCAGAATATATTAATACAAAAATTAAAGTATATAAATGCAAAACTACATAATACAAAAATTAAAGTATGTAAGTAGAAAAATACATCATGCAAAAATTAAAGTACAGAAAACATTTTATAATTATATAATAATAAAAGTCTGCTGTTGTCTGAAGTAGACACCCGATTTATATCAGAACAAAACAAAAAAATTTTAACTATTATTTAATATAATGTGAATTTTGATGTATTTTAGTATTAATTTAATTTTATTTCAGCTTTTGTCCTATCCTATTAGTAAATTAACCCCATTCGTTTGATATCAAATTTCATCTCTTTTTTATATACATATAATGAAAATAAAATTGGTATATGATTCAGTGCAGCAATTATATGCGCATTTTAATTACTAATTTTTTTATTTCGTTTTTCTTTCAAATAATTTTTAGTTTACATATTTATTAGAAATACATATTTGTATACATAGTTATTATGTATTTACGTATGCGTTTGTTTTGCGAGCATGCATACACATATAAGCGGCTGTACGTATATATTCACGAAAGTATTGAAAACGCAGGAGAGAGCTCAACCCTTTTAAACTGCATTTTATCCGATAGGAAGATTTTGTAGCGGAATCAGTTTCTGCGAAACCTACTAGAAAAGTTAATTGGTCTGGACTGTGTCCAGAATTCGATCTCAGTTGTGTTTACTGTATCCCCGAGAATAGCCCAAAAAACAGCCTTGACCCTCTTCTGTCGCAGAGCCTCTACATGAGTTGTATGTATACAATCAATAGACGAATATTATGACGCCAGATGTCGCGGGAAACGCCAGGGAGACCGGAAGATATCCTGGATTTAGGGATAATGCTGCAGTGCGTATGAGACATAGGTGCCGTTGGAATTATCCCCTCTTTTAACCGGTTGATGAACGCTAGCTATCTAATGGGGGATTATAGTTTTGGAATAACATCTAATGTGACTGCTATATCACCGGTAGATTATAAGCAAAACCCAAGCAGTAAGTCTTTTTTTAGCGGCGAATCTGTGTCCCATACCATGCAAGATGAATTGCTCATGGACAAGTCGAATACTACCGCTGCAGGTAAACAAACGGAATCGCAGCAGCAAACATCCACGAATGGTGAAGCTTTGGTTAATAACAGCGATGGAAATATGGAGGAATATTCCAGTTCTAAAGCAAAAAATGAAGACAACGAACTCTCTGTAAACAATCAGCTCGAAAAACAAGTAATCGAAACTTCATCAACATCAGGAACACCGAGCTCATCGCTGCAATTAGAATTTTCGGATGCTGCTATCACCACATCTGCACCAACTTTTTGGTCTGGTGTAACTGGAGATGATGCTTTCAGTTCTGGTGTATCACCCTTAAAGAATACTCTATCATTTCAAAACTTTCCAAATGTTTCAAATCCAGTTTTCAATACTAGTTTAGGACCTCAAATAAATATACCTCAGTCTTTACCCCCTCAAAGAAGGGCGATTACCGGTGCTCACAATTTTAGCCAAAATAGGCATCAACAGCCCCAGTCAAATATATTGAAGACTTTCTCTAACTGGAGTAGTCCTCAAAATACATCTTGGTCAGCTCCTCAAACACCTAATGGGCTGTTACCATGGAATGCAATGAATCTCGCCAACCAGAAGAGGACGGTGCCAAATATCAATCCTGTTTGTTCTCAGAAAAAGACTCAACCTGCTGTTGGGCAGCATTCAATGGTAATATCACCGTCCAAATTTAGAAGAAGTACTTCTTTGCCGCTTGGTAAACAATTCCCTCATTCATTTGGGGGTAACCCACCTTTTGATATGTCTACACTTGATGAAAACAGAGATGGAAATATGATATTCCCTTTCCCGGTAAAATACATATTTTCAAATGTTTTACATTAGATTTCAGTGATTAAAATGTTTGTGAGTATTTGAAATGCTATGGCTATCAAAATTAAGCTATTAACATATATGAAAATTGTTCAGACCGTAAACTTATTTGTGATTTCATATTCTTGTTTAGATAGTTTCTGTGCTACTATTAGTCATTGTTTTCTTAAATAAAACTTAATGTACATTTTCAGCATATTTTAACACTACCTTTAGATTTAATAATAGCATATGCAATAATTTTTGTTAAAATGTATCAGGAAAGTAATCAAAAGGAGCATGTATATTGTTACATCAATATGTTTTTATTATCTCAATTATTAATTTATTATTCTGAATTATTAAAAATTAAAAAAAAAATAAAAATTAAGTTCTCTGTCATTTGCAGGATCACCAGATACCAAGCAACATAAATTCAAGTACCATAGATGCATTGAGATTTCCATTAGAGCAGCAGCTGCTTGATATCATGCGATCATCGAATGCTGATAATCAAGATCATTTTAAAGGTTAGTAATTTTTTAAATAATTCCAAAGGTGTTTTATAATATTGGTTTATGCTGTCAAGTTTTGTAAATTTATCTACAGTTTACTCGAATATCAAATGAAAAGGGCTTAAAGCGTTTGATAAAACATTTTGGCAAAGTTGCGTACATTATATCAAGTTTGTATGTAAAATAAGTGTTAAAAAACAGAGACTAAATATTGTCAGTTTCTGATGTTAGATGCATATGTAACCGCAAATCTTTGTTCTATTTTTCTGCTGTTTGTTTATTGTGTAGTTAATTATGGCAAAACATATGAGGGCTGTTTGTGTAAGAGAAGGAATACTTTTCTAAGGAAAACTGGCATATATCCTGGGTTACTTTGGTTTATTAAATAGTGAGAAAGCATGCAAAGGCTGTCTGCCTAAAGGAAGGGGTGCCTTTGGGGAGGACTTTCTAAAGGAAGCCGACTCGTATACACATTACACATGAGGAAAACCACAAAATGCATATGCAACCAGCCCATTCGCCTGGAATTGAACCTATGTCGGAACTACCAGTGTTCAGCATCTTTACTGCTCGACCACTGGTGGTTCCACATCCTGGGAAAACCATATGAATATCCATTCAGCCAGTCTGTACATAGGAATTAGAACCCAGGTCAGATTACTAAAGACTAGTGGTCATGTCCTTTGGGTCACTGGTATGCATTTTTTCTAATGAGATGTATGATCGGATAAATTTAGATTAAAGTGATTTATATTATATAGTTATTATTTTATAAACATATACTTCATGAATTTAATTATTAACAGCTGTTTCAAATGCCATATGTTAGTTACAGAATGGTCCTTACTGTGCTCCATAGCTATAAGTTTGCTGTACTTTTTAAATCTTTAAATAGATAGCATGTCTTAATGGCTTAGTTCAATATGTTACAGTTCACTACCAGCCAAGTGACTAAATTTGTTAGGATTTTGTGTGTATGGGGAAAAGGGATTGCAAGTTGAATAACAGTAAAAAAAAAAGACTGATAAATTTTGAAAATACCTTGTGTATGATTTATGAGATTATCAAAATTTATTATATAAAAGAACTGTATATGATTTGCAAGATTTGCTTCATAATTTTGCATAGAGTAAGATCATGTGGTTGTGCTTTACTTTGAAGTATAAATGTCATTAAGGATTAAAATTGTTTCATTTAAGTGAAACTGATAATTAAATAAGTCAAAAGAGGTGGAGGGATTATGATTCATGTTATTTTCAACTGTGTAACTAACTACATATCACCTCAAATAGCAGAATCTCTTGAGCAAAAAATGTCATTAAATGACATTGCTATATTAGTTCTGTTTGATTCTGTTCTCATTGTAAGCCTCTTAGCATAGCCAGATGCATATTATATTTTTTTTTCCTTTTATACTAATAGTAATTTTTGGGATTCTTTCAATTTCTTTATAAATATCGAGAATTTTTAAAATTATTTATTATTATTATTATCTTTTCTTTATTATTATTTCCTTATATTTTCTATTTTTCATTTCTTTGTTATCAAAAAATTTCTGTAAACAAGTTTTAAATTAGTTTTAAAAGAAAAGATTTTTTTTTCGGGGAAAGTGCAGAATCGCCCACTGCTTGGCGCGTTCTTAAGAATTGCACATACTCGGTATCCATGTACACATCGACTTATTTTCACTTAAAAAAAAATCCCAGAATTGCACATGAATGGCATTGCGCGTTCCCTTGACTACCCATATGCATATCGACCTATTTTCATTTTAAAAGTCAAAGAACATTGACAAAAATCCAATTCTTCTTACTCTTGTAAAAGCGCCAAACAAACGCTAATCAAATAAGTGGGCGATTCTGCACTTTAGCCTTTTTTTCATCTTATAGAACACCAAATAATTTTCTTCAGAAAGGTATATGTGCCAGTTTTACATTTTGTCTCTATTAAATTAAACATGTTATTCTTATTTTTTAAAATCATCCAAGTGGAAAAGTTGCTGAACACTGGTAGTTCGACTTGGGTTTGATTCCAGGCAAATGGTGTGGCTGCACAAATGCTTTCGTGGATTTCCCTATGTGTGATGTAAATTCAAGCCAATTTCCCTTAGTAAGCCTTCCACAAAGGTATCCCTCCTGTTAGGCTGATAGCTCTAGCGTGCTTTGCCATAATCAAATAAACCAAACCAATCCAAACCAAACTCATTTCTTATAACTGTGTTCTTATTTGAAAAATTAACCTCACTTCTGTAATTTTTCCCCTTAAGATTTTCAGTTCCTTTTGTACTAAAGTGCTGATTTTAAAATAATAATAATAAAAGGAAAGGACAAAATTTCTGCAAAAGTATCATTATGCTAAAGGACGTTATTAAAAAAATACTACAAAATGAAATTGTGTATTACTACTACTGGAACATCAAACTTGTGCTGTAATTTAAGATTATGGCACAAAAAGAAAAGTTTTTTTCTGGAGCAGATGTTAGCACGAAGGTTTGTGTGTTCTAGACCGGGTCTAAGCTGTAGCCAATGAGAGAAGCTAAATTTGTGCATGTGTGGACTTGTCTACATCTTTCGTGCTGTTTTCCCGCTTGATTTATTTCCCGTGTTTGCTCTGCTTGTTTTTGTTATTTTGTGTCATGGCTTTTTCAGCTCACCGCAAAGTTTTACTGGCTCAACAGAATGCTCTTTTATCTGCCCTTCTTATTAACCAAGAGGCAACAGAAGAAGGTAAAAAAGAAAAAGAATGAAATGGTCTAGAGATATTATTTTGGAAAGGCCAATACTTGGTTGGCACATATTTCTGTGCAAAGCAGTATGGAATATTTCTGCATTGTACTGTAGTACTCTCTTTACTATAAACATGCACATGTATATTTATATATATAAAAACTTTCTTCAATTTTGATATGTAATTTCTCTTAGGAGAAAAATGATACTCTAAATACACCTAATTAAAAAAAATCGTGAGGATAAGTGACAGATACCCTGTATATAATATTTTTCCATTTTGCAGTTAAGTGGAAAACAGTACTTACCATACATTATTATTATTATTATTATTGATTTTCAATCAAAAGGAACGTGTTTCTGTGCTTAGCACTGCTTATTCACTGTCACTGTCGATCACTACAATAGTTAGCTGCACTACCAGTATCAATTATCACTAGTACTAGTATCCCACAACTGGTCACCATGACCAGCAACCACAACTAAACTTGTACAATACTATGAAATGTTCACCCAACAATGTATTTTATGCTCAATCATTAAATACATTTTGCTGTGTTGCCAGCTGTTTGTATACATCTGTGTCTAATCATTTGCATGTATAAGCCGCACCCCTGAATTTCATATGCTTTTTCTGAAGGAAAATAAAAAGGGGGGGGGTTACACTCGAGGGACTACAGTACAAAGTAAACACTAACTTTTAGGAATTTTTGTGGATAATTCTGCAAACTGGTATGTTTATATTCAATGAGTAATTCAAATTAAACTCTTCTATGCTGTGAGATGTCACAGATGTAAGTTTCATCCACGTCTGTTGTCAGAAGTAATTACTTTTAATGATTTTTCATTTACTGACAGATTATGACAATTCTTCACTCACTGGCAGACGTGCATATTAAAGCAGCAAAAAGAATTTAATTTTAACATATGCTGTCATTTCTATTTACGACCAATATCTCAAAAGTAATTTCACATTGACAAATTTTAGATACCCAAGTCTTCAAATACAACAAAATTATAAACATCCATAACTTATCCAGGAAATTCTACCAAAGAAATAGCATGAATTTATTGATCAAAATTCGAGTCAAAATCATAGTAATAAAGAATGGATAATAATAACAAATACCATTCATTAAATTATAATCCATGTTATGAATTATGTGTGCTATTCAGTTTCATTAAAAGTAAATTCCTTTCATCGAGAACATAATTAAAAAGCAGAACAGAACATCAACAGGAGACAAAACTGTCTAGACTGATGACTGTTGTTTTAAGGATATTTCACTACATTTTTTTTCTTCTTGGACTTTTTTCATTTTCTCAAAAGATTAATTTTTTATTACTTAAACAAAGCTTACACCATTGAATGGAATTGACTATTGTGACTATTCTTAAATAAGTGAAATAATTTTTTTTAAAGTAATATTTTTACTGTTAAAAAAAAAAAAAAAAAAAAAAAAAAAAACAGCATATTCTTGATATTGATTTGATGTTTTAGTAAAATTAATTCATGAAGTTTGTTTGGACAGAAAATCAGCATTTGAAGCAGCTAGCAATACAATATTTCTAGCTTTTTCAATGAATTTATTCTTAAATATAAATAATTAAACGGGAAGAAAATGATAGTAATAATTTATACAAAAATAATAAACAGAAAGAAAGTAATAATAATAATTTACACAGAAAAATTAAAATTTTTGCAAGCATGCATTTTTTAAAGAATTTTCATAATAAAATAAAAAATAATGGATGGGATCAATCATCTACAGGATCATACACAGCTTTCATAATCCTGAAAACTTTCGCTTTACGAGTTTCATCCATATTTTTCAATTTATTGTGAAAACTCATTAAAAAATGCATGCCATCATTGGCGATTTCTTGCAAGATCAACTCATTATTTCGTTTGGATACGATTACAAATCATTCGGATATGATGTGTTCCATATTAAAAAAATAAAAAATGTCGCGTATAATGTGACAGCGAAATCCTCTGCAGAAAGCCACTTCATTTTAGCTTCCCTCTAATTGGTCAATGCTTATCTCAAACTCGGCGTAAAGTTGAAAACTTGGAACCTTATGCCACAAGCCCTAGACCAGATTTGGTGACGTAGTACAGAGTGGTTGCCTTGGCAACGCAGCTCGGCTTTAACCACTTATGACCTTTGTGCCCCCGTCTGAACACAGCCTTAGTGCAGATATCAAGCTTCCAAATATCGTAACAGTGACAAAATTTTAAACTTTTTAAATCAAATTTGTTATGTATCTATAAATAGGAGGGCTACC